TTGAACGAATAATTAATATAATACTATATAATAATAGTATAATAATAATAATAATTCCAAATTTCGATTCTGGCCTGGTCAAAATTAAAATTCAACTTTTGGCCCATCAGATTCTGAATTTAGCCAGCCAGAGTTAGATTCCAGTTTTGGCCGTTTAGATTCTAAGTTTGGCCGGTCAAAAGCAGAATTCCAGCTTTGGCCGGCCAGATTCGGAATTTGGCCGGCCAGAGTTAGAATTTCAGTTTTGGCCGGCCAAATTCGGAATTTTCCATGTGTAGGCATCTCAATTCTAAGTTTGGCCGGCCAAATTCGGAATCTGGCCGAATTCTAAGTTTGGCCACAACATATATATACTAGTTGAAACAGGGGAGAACGAAAATACTAGAAAAACATAGAAAAATATGTAGTATAGAATATGTAGTATAAAAGCTAGACGAACCCTGTATACTGGCATATGAAAAAAATGAAATTAAAAGACAAATAAAAGAGACATTACTGACGCACGAACAAAAAGAGTTAGCCTACAATGATATTTCATTAAAGACAGTGATATTCGTTTAGACAGTCTAATAACAGTCCAGAATAGAAAAATGTAACCGTCACTCGATTCTATACTACATATTTTTCTATGTTTAAGTTTTTCTAGTATTTTCGTTCTCCCCTGTTTCAACTAGTATATATATGCATCTCTCTTCTAAATTCACAGTCATATTAGCCTGATGATGATACTGTGAAGTATCGAAAGCTCGCTTTTTGTGTAAAATGATTTTACAAAAATGTTTTTCAATTATATTAAATATACTTAGTTTTATAAGAAACGTAAAAAAGTCAAAGAATGTCAATTATTCTATTAAAATTCGTCATCGACTAACTAAATCATGTTTATCTGACATAATTCAGCTACTTTTACTATTACATATTGAATACACACCCGCGTCTGTATACAAACTGCAAGAAATATTGAAATCAAACGTAAAAAAGTGTAATGAATCATCAGCCTTAACGTTAGAAATTCCATCTGATTTAACAAAAACTCGATACCTTTGTCCACATTGTGATCAAATATCAAAAACACCTACCGAATGTTCAAATAATTGCTCATCCAACAAGAAAGACGATATACAGATCGTTAAACCACACATTTTTCTACCATTTAATATTCATATTCAACTGCAACAAATTTTATCACGTGAAAAACGTATTTGTTTTCATGATTCAACGTCGACAGAAACAGATAAAGGATTTATGACAGGTATAACAGAGGGTCAACGTTATTTAGCAGTAGCCAAAGAGGCAACAACGGATGACAAAACAAAATTTATTAGCCTGATTATGAATGTCGATGGTGTATCCATCAGAAATAAGACAGATGCATCACTGTGGATTTTCACATTAGCAATACTGGAGATACATCGTTCAAATCGTTTTCGTATGGAGAATATTGTTGTCGCCGGAGTTTCTCTGGGTTACAAAAAACCGTCGAAAAAAATCATTAACCTCATGTTAACACCAATTGTTGAACAATTAAAGCTATTACAAGATCACCGCCAATATCTCATTGGCAGTAAAAATGAATTAATCAGAGCATTTTTAATAACCTCGTGCTCGGACAAACCAGCTAACTGTATGATTCAAGGTATTCCGGAGCCAACTTCTTTTTATGGTTGCAGTAACTGCGAAATTCACGGTAAATACTTATTCCTTTTTCTCTATTTTGTTCATCCTGAGTTCTTTCTAAAACATATTCGATTAAAGTCCTTATTATTTCTTTTGTCTAGGAATATCAGCATTAGCGAATCTTAATGCTAAACCAAACACCCGAAAAGCCACCACAACTGTACGGGTATTCTCAACAACTGAACTTCACAATTGGCCCACTCGACGGAATGCTACAAATTATTACTTTTATCTCAATAAATACGCAAGTTTGATTAAAAACAGCCGTTTATCAGCTGATCATATACGAGATGCAACAATGGATTACATAAGTCCATGTTTACTATTAGATTTGAAATATTTTGAATACTCATCAGGATTTTTGATCGATACACTGCATACCATATACCACGGTATTTGGGTAAGCAGCTCAAACTATCGCATCTCTCTAAAATGATATTTTTATTTCTTTTATGTTCTTCAGAAACGTTTATTACGATTATGGTTTAACGAGGAATCGAAAAAAGAAATATGGTCATTGTGTAGTCAGAAGAAGAAAATTGATTTAAAATTAAATTATTTGAAATTTCCAACAACCACAGTTCGTACCCCTCGATCAATATCTCGTTATGAAAAACTTAAAGCTAACGAATTGCGAATTGTCTTATTGGTGGCTTTTCCAATTCTGCGGGAATTTTTACACGAGAAATACTATCAGCACGCTCAGCTCTTGACAACATCGATATCAATTGCCGAAAATCGTACCATAAAAAATGAGAACGTCATGCTGATGCAACACCTTATGAATAAATTTATTGATTGTTTCGAAACGATGTACATGTTACGTCACGTCGTCCAAACGGTACATAGTGCTCTACATCTACCACAATCGGTGTTAGATTTTGGTCCAACGTTTGGCTTTAGCACTTTCAGCTTCGAAAGTATACTAGGTAGGATATTTACTTGTATTTCTCATATCCCTATGTCTTTGCTCCGAGAAAGCTTCAGATTAGTCAATACTTTGATTTTATAGGAAAAATCACGACAACAATACATGGTTCTCGTCTACAACAGATCGAGCTTGCCAATAATCTAGATTTGGTCAAAATAACATCAGTATTGTCCAATAGCCATTCTTTGAATTCCAACTTATCCGATTTTATAAACTATCTGCAAGGGTATCAGTCTTCAATGAAACCGCTGTCGAATGGTGGATCAAGAAAAGTTAGATTGGAACAGCAGCAACAAAGATTATTGAACACGGTTTATCTCGAGAATTACCATGTATATCGAAAATTAACTTTTAATGGTGTCACTTATGCATCATTATCGACATCCAGGTCATCAAAGTATACCGATGCGTGTGTATTATTTAAGAAAGATAATCAATTCTGCTTTGGTATTATCAACAATATCATTCTTCTATAAGAACAACAAGAGTACCGTTTACAAATACGCGTACTTCAAGAATGTACGTTTGATCATGGAAAATGCGAAAATGTTACGTCGAAAGTTGTTTGGAAAACGGCAGAGTGCACTGTATTTTGAAATGGATAGTAGAAGATTTTATTAGTGAAACAAAAAATCCAATCAAACTGTATTTAAAGTGGTGTTTTAAGCAAGACATTCGAACTCCAAATATCATAAAATCGATTTGTAAAAGAAATAAACGATCCTAAAGAAACACTTTTCAATAAGTCAACTACTATTGGATATTTAGAAATACTACAAAATGAGTTTAACGCAAAACCAAATACTAATACATAATATTCGTACTGCGAATAACATAGCCAAATTAGAACAATAATATTTGTTTCGTCTTTTTCACTCTTTCTCTAATTATTTTGCTTCTAGCTTTCTCATATTAAATTTACTTGAGGGTGCTTCCACACAGGTCCGCCCACTTTATACAGAACATCTTGCCGGGAAAATTTCACTTTGGCCGTCGGACAGAGCATCAAAAATAACCTAAAGGTTTCCCTTACGCTTTTTTGAAAAAACGTGTGAAAAGTGATTTTCTCAGGTACTCAATTTATTTGAAAAATTCCTGAAGTTTAACCTCGATTTTCTCCTAAACGCTCCGAAAATTTTTCGAGATTTTTTCAGGATAGGAACTACTTAGTAGGATCTATAACTCTGCCCATACAACTATTCTCGATACTTTCCGTTTTTCACTCTCATTTTTCCTGAAAACCTCTTAAAACCTTACTTCATCAAAAGAAAATTGGGCTATTATGACTCTATATTCCTGTTCAGCATGAAGAATTCAATGTACTTCAACGTTTTCTAAGACATCTTTGTGTTTTCGTACAACAGTTTTCTAAGGGGTTTTCAGGAAAACTGAGGGTGAAAAGAACCCAAATCATTTTACGTATATGTGAAACAGCGTGAGAAACTGGACTCTGTTTAAAAAATTCTTTTGAGTCCCGACAAACAAAGGTTCCGAACACGCTGATGCTGGCTATATAGTTCATCTAACAGAGTGACGAAAATTCCGCGAGAAATGATCCCACCACTATGCTAAGTTGGCTCCTGTCTCGTGCCTACCGTTGTTTGTCGAGACTCGGAGAATTTTTTTGACAGAGTCCAGTTTCTCACGCTGTTTCACATATACGTAAAATGATTTGGGTGCTTTGTTGAATTATTCTGTCCAATTTTCGAAACCAAGTGGTATATTTTATTTGAAATTAGGTCTAACTCTTATTAGACTCATAATCTATAGTCTCCCACGGCTTTAAATGTAAAACTGGACAAAATAATTTGCTCGGTTTTGAGCATTTGGTCCCGCTAAGGCTTAAAATTTAGCCGGAAAAATATTTTCGGGACTTAATGAAAAACTACTCTGTTTGACTCAGTTTTTTGTGATGATAATGAATATCAAGTGTATTTGGCTTACAAATGGTGTTTTTGTGGCGTAAATGTGCTTTTATGTTGCAAAATTTGACGATTTTACCTGTGTTCAATAGAGTATTTCGAATTTCCGATGATGAGGTGCAACTTTTCAACCAAATCTAAATATTCATTAGATGCACAATTGTTAGGGCTACAAAACATACAATGTTAAGAGTTACTGCCGTATAATCTACTAGGTTTTATTTGAAATTGAAACAAATAAAAATGAGGTTTTAAAAACTGAAAACATTTATAAATTCAATTTTTTTCATGTGAAGCTTTAGGTTCCAAGAATAGAAAAACTCATGTCTAAACTCAGTTTTTTTGCACTTGCAATTCATCTCTCATGACTTCCTTCCTCTATTGTTTCGCTACTGTATGTAATAAACAATCAGTGATTCATTCTAAAATCTAAATATTGAAGCAAAACAAACTGGGTCCTGTCAAATCTGTACACTAGAAATCCCTGGTATACTACGAAAAATAAATTAACATTTGACGGCCGCATAGTGTCTTGGCTTATGCGCCTAAACACGATTCTCTAACTCTACTTAGACATAGACATTGTATTTTAGCATGAAACTTTCCGTAAATATTGTTCAATATTTTATTTCTAGACTAGACAAAGTATTAAAAAGCACTATAGTAGTGATCATGCGATGTATCCATAGGTGGTCGCAGATCTAAAATGAAGGCAGGAGAATAAGTGTGCCATCCTTCTTTCCGTACAATTTGTTAATTACGCTGATTATGAATATGAGGTTTATTTTCGATATCAGTCGGTTAGAAAAAAAATAATAAAACATTAGTAAATTTCTCATCTCGCGATCAACTGATGTTTTGTGCCATTTTGTGACCGGACTTACATGTTTTTAACCAAAACTGTTCTGCTTATTAAATGACTGTACGGCTTTTCCAACAGGCTATTTTAATAGGGTTTATTCAAATTCAAGATAAAAATTACATTAAGATGAAGAGCAAATTTAAAATAAAGAACAGAAATATCTTTCATCCCGGAGAAATGGCATAATTGAGCCCGTATATTAAAATTTCAATAAAAAACGCACGGAAGAGTCCGAAATTTTAAAAAAATATTTTTGGCACTATTGATCTCGATGTAAACTAATTTTTTTTATTTCTCTCGCACAATTGATCCTGGAATGCTTATTGTTTTTGTCAGCAGCACAATGGATCCGATTAGTCTAGTAAGGAAAGGGAAAAACTGTCTCTCTCACTTTTTATAAAAAGAAGTATGTCATGTAAAACGTGGTTAGAAGTTTTTGAGAGTGTTAATGACTTTTACAAAATCCCATGGTGTGCGCAAGAATCGAACTGAAGAGTTTTATGCCGGATTATCTTTCACACATAAATGTTCACAATATAGAAAATATCCATTATGTTATTATGAATTAAAAGCTAACAAAATACAGATGATAATTAACACAGTACATTCATTAAGTTCACATTCACACAATGAACGTAATAAATCGACACGAATATCATCTTCTATACGCGACCAAAACCGACTGATCCGAAATGGAATTTTTGGGTAAAAAAACGCGTTAATGTGCGTTAATTTTTAACGCGTTAAGCGGAGCAATTCTTGCACTAATTGATGCATCAAAACACGTTGTACTCTAATGCATTTCTTTGCTTCAAATAGTCATGCGCTAAAACGCGCTAAGACTGAACGAGTTTTGATGCATCAATTGGTGCAAGAATTGCTCCGCTTAACGCGTTAAAAATTAACGCACATTAACGCGTTTTTTTTACCCAAAAATTTCACCTGGGACACTAGTCATCCTCGCATCGTTGCTGGTGTTCCTTTGGTCATTACTTTAATAGCCACTCTGTGTCAACATCTTCAAAAATTGGATTTTTTTTCTTACTCATCTCTACTCTCTTCTCTTTGCTTTTTTTATATCTTTCTTTTATTTGGTTCTTTGGTATATAACAGCGGAAGCGTTTGCACACCTCTGTAATAGCTTTTGTCGCTTTGGATGTAATAACGTCTAAAGATTTTTAATAAAACTGCTTATATAAAAGAAAACTATACAAAGTAATTTACGGCTCGTACTTGTGTATAAAGCGGGCGGAACTGTGTATAAGTACCCATTTATACAAATGGCTTCGTTAACCTAAACAATCTAAACACGTGTGAAAAGCTAAAAATGCATTATGTTTCTTTAGCACGATTTCATTGTTCTCAAATGTTATAAATCAAAAGAAAACAAACGCAAAGAAAAGCGTATAAAAAATGACAAATAATAGGTCAGTAGAGTTCAATTCCTAATACTATAATCACCGGTTATACTGTGAGAGCATCGATAGTAACGATTCGTTATCATAATAGTTCATTATAACCGTCCTGATTAGACCTAAGATGTGTTTTTTTGTTGTTTCGCTAGTAGGTCACCCATGTTTAGGATTGAGAATATTCCTAGACATGTGTTTTCTGCATATAAATGTTTCTTGTAATGGAGGATGTGTTCTTCGACCTGATTGGCTATTTTGATAGGTGTGATCGTCTGGTTCTGGTGCTTTGTATACTTATATGCTAGCTTACAGCCTATGTACTGTGTTATTTCCTTCTAGCTTCAAATAGTAGTTCCAAGAAGACGCTATCTAGGTCAGCTGATATTGATCCTGGTTCTCTGGAGATCAAAGCAAACAACGTATGTACTGCCAAGCAGGGAGAGATACTTATTGGTTGAAAAACCGAGACGGTAGAAAAGTTATATCAGAAACGAGCCTAAACTGTTGTGTAGGTTCATAGGTCATTATGTGTACTATGATCTGTGAACCAATTGTATATGCCAGTGTTGTTGAAAACAACGGTTTACCTCGAGATTTTATCTATCGTCGTTTTATTTAATTTATGAGGTAGGTTTATGTTCCATTTAGTTTATAGATGATATAATTGAATGGAATAATTGATCGTTTTAGCGACGGTAAATGGCATCTAAAATTGGTCGACTACCGAGCACGTTTGATTTTCAGTCTTTTCGATGGAAAGATGTGGTCAGATGGTTTCCTGGTCACATGACCAAAGGCATGCGAGATTTAGAAGAAACATTGATTAAAGTTGATGGAATAATTGAAGTACATGATGCTCGTATACCACATAGCGGTCGAAATCCAAACTTTTACAAACGTTTAGTTGGTGGTCATAAACCACATCTGCTATTATTGAATAAAGCTGATCTGGCTGATAAACAATATCATCAGAAATCTATTGATTATATAAAACAAGAACATCCTAATGTGGAGGTATCACTAACATCATTTGAAAGTATAACAGCGCAAGAATTAAGTAAGTTATTTGTTAATTTAATTGAACAAATTGTAGAAGTACCACGTTTTACACGTCAGTTGAATGCTGAATATCAAATTATTGTTTGTGGAATACCTAATGTTGGAAAATCAACACTAATTAATCGTTTAAGAAATATGTTGTTAAGCAAACCAAAAGTAGCACAAGTTGGCGCATTACCAGGTGTAACACGTTCAATGTCCGAACGAATTAAAATATGTGAAAAACCGAAAATCTACATACGAGATAGTCCCGGTATACTAGAACCAAAACTGAAATCACCTGATGAAAGTTTTCGGTTATTATTAACAAATTGTATTCCGTTACAACAAACTACTTACAGTGATTTGGCTGCGGACTATTTACTATATTTATTAAATAAATATGAAAAATATCAATATGTCGAATATTGTGGATTATCTGAACCGACAACAAATATCATTAAATTATTAACAGAAGTAGCTCAAAATAAACATTTTACAAAAACTTATAAAGGATATAAACTAGTATTCGATTTAGAACAAGCTGCGAGACATTTTCTATTAGAATTTAGCAAAGGAACATTAGGTATTTATGAACAATTTGTTGTTATTTTCTCATTTTTATCATCTAGTTGATTCAATGATCCATGCTCCCACTTGTTTACATGTCTTTATTTTTTCTTCACGAACAATCGTCCATTTGTACAAAACAGAACGATCCATCAGCATTAAAACTTGTTCATTTTTTTTAGGTTCTATTACATTGGATCAAGACATTTTGGCTTCAATCGATAGCGAAGTAAACGACGACATTAAAATGTTTCGTTCAAAAACAGGAAATTTGACAAAAACTATTTAGTAGTACTCATATGTTGTCTCATTGTTATTTCATTTTGTAATCCTATTCCATAGACATGATTATTTTTGTTATTTTTTAAACTTTGTTTTGCTACTAGTATATATATTTTGTTTTCTACCCGTTGAATAATTTAGAAGCGAGTCTCAAATGTTTTCCACTTATGAATTGTAAAAACTGTTTATAGAAAATTCTACTATGCGAACATGTTTAAAATCTCACTCATACTCTCTTATTAATGAATATTTTTCACTATTTTAGATTGATAGTATCGTCATTGTCAGATTTCGATGTATAATATTTTTTCTTCAACGTATTGAAATCTGAGATAAACAAAGTGTTCAATTAGTTATAAACGTTTGGATCGTCAAAAATGTCAGATTGTGCTGAAGGCGTTGCCGCATTGAGCAGTAAGTCTATTATCATTTTACTTAGCGTATTTACACAATAGAACTATAATTTGTTTATCATAGAGCACATGATTATTTATAAAACATTGGAAATGCGTTGGCGAGTCAATGTGAGTATTTTTAAAGCAATTTTAATTTTTAACTAAACGTACCATTTTTTGTATTCAGCCCTATTTTTTACACAGAAATTTGAAGTATGTTCATATGGCTAGAAAAAAGTGTACAAGGTATGATTTTAAACTATCTCAAGAAAGCTATCTGCAACATTTTCTTTATTATATTTAAAGGAAAAGACCTTTAGGTTTAAATGACATAGTCGATCATTTATTAAGCGATAATCAGTCACTACCAGCAATATCAACATCAAATGAATCGTTTAATTTGCATTTACATTCGTGGAGATATGATCAAGGTGAATTATTTTATAAAATTTTCTTACATTTTTGTGTACTTTTGAATTTATTTTTATATTAGATTCTCTACTTCATTCAAGTAGCAAACAGGATGTATCGTTCGAATTATTAGTCACACGTGACGAACATCCTTCACAACAACAAGGGCAAAAATCTTCACATTCTGTCCGTCTACCTGTTACAACCGTGTCATTATTTAAAAAATCTCCAAAAATTATTAGTGTTGGTAAAATCAATTCAATTAATTCAATTCGTTCAAATGAAAATTTTAATAAAAAATCATCCGTTGAAGAAACAACTATCTCAATTAATATTTCATCAAAATACAATTATACATTGATATTCTCAAGCATTGTCCTCAGAAACGGTATGTGATTCATCAATTTTCTATAAATTAAAATTAAAATTTTTCTCTTCTTTAGACAATAATGAATATATATCGTCTTCGTACGCTAAATCCGTCCAATTAGATTCATTATTTAATTCAAATGTATCGAATAAAATACCCCATAAAATTGAAATATTATTACCAAAAACTGGCAATGAGGTAACTAGCGTGTAAATATAAAATATGATTCAAATTTATATTTGTTTATTTTATCTAGCCGTCTGAACAATCAGCATTAAAACTTTATTTCGAAATTAATCGTGAATTTGTTGAAACAGTTGGTGGTTCACGATCGCCATTTTCATCGGCGAGAAATTTGATGCCGTCAATTCAATTACAACGCTATATTGAACCGACATTAAACACAAAACGTACAACACAAGATATTCGAAAAATGACTAAGAAAGGTAAATATTCTTCGATTTTCATTAATTTTATACAAATTTGAATATTTTATTTATTCTATCTAGATAAAAACAATCAAAAGAAATATACGATGACAACAATATCACCAGCATCTTTAATAAAGATGACAACAACAACATCAAATGGAAATAAATACAATCAATTATTTTATCATTTTTATTTTGGTAAACAAGCTGTACAACGAAGTTATGCGGCTAAATTTGGTCAATGTTGTTTTTGTCAATTTTTAACGGTCAATAATGATATGGACGTATTAAAAAAACATTTATTTTTATGTCATCCACGATTCACAGCCATATTTAAAGTAGGAATGTTACAATATTAATTTTAAAGTTAAAATCAAAATTTTTGAATATTTTGATTATAGAAAATGACTGACGGTCCTACTTTTGAAATACGTCTCAATCGTTCATATGATTGTTCACTTGACACATATGATGAATATAAACATGATAAATTTTGTCCACAAAAACGTCGATGTATGACAGAACTTATCATTTGGAGGTAGGATAAATATATTATGTTTATGTTTTTCTATTATATTTAACTTTATTAAAATTATTATTAGACCAGCTTGTAATCGTCGTTCACAATTTGCTGATATTAATTATATATGTCGTCGTCCGAATTTAGCACGTTGTTATCGTCATACAACTGGAGCATTAAAAGTTGAACCGGAACATATTGAAGATGATAGTGACGATGATTTATATCCAGAGTGGACAAAACAATTGACACGACGTTTAATGGAAGATTTTCAAGATGTGAATGATGGTGAAAAAGAAATGATGATCATATGGAATAATCATGTTATGAAATACAAGTAGGTTCAAGTTAAATTTTTATAATGAAAATATTCGATTTATCATTTTTTTTTTTTATATTATAGTTTTATTGCTGATAGTCAAATGGCACTTGCATGTGAATTATTTGTGGAAAATCATGGCAATGAATTAATAGAAAAAAATTTAATAAAAAATTTCTATTTACATCTTATAACATTACAATTATATAATTTGCTGAGAAAATCAGATGTGGCTAAATGTGTAGTACGTTTGAAAACATTTTTATCCTATGACAAGAAACATAAATTAGATGATAATGATGAGAACAATTTGATTGTTAAAAAAAAAATGATTACTATTGGTACATCATGAGCAACGGCTAATTTTGTAGATAGTTTATTTGTGCTCTCTTTTTTCGTTTGCTTTTCTTTGTTTCTTACTGTGTAGGAGGATAAAAAATTTGTATATGTATGTATTGCTAGTGTTTTCTATATTTTTGGAAATAAAACGAAAACACGACGTGTTTACGTAGTAAAAATGACTCAACAAATTCAGCAAATTAATTTGTTAACAAATATTTAATCTCAACTTATTGCAGCTGCTTGTCTATTATAATGACAGACATAAAAAATAATGTGTAGGAATAATTCTTGTTTAATTTCTTTAAAACTTCTCACAGATAAGCAAGAAGCAACAAATATGTAAAATTTTATTATTGTTTGACTATCTGCAATTTCTGTTGTAACTACAAGAACTTATCCCTATAAAGAATCGTTTTCTTATTTTTTATTCTCATTAAATCAAATCTTTTTTTATTAAGTTTAATAATATGTGGATCGAAACTAAAACTAAAAATGCTGATAAGATTCACCTAAGTACATGTTCAACTACACCCCAAGCAGACAAACATTTAGAAAAACGCGTTTAAACGCTCAAAAGGGAACTGCGATTGTGAGTCATTAACGCTCATTAAAAAAACGCAAAAAACGCGTTTGTTGCGTTTTTTTAATGAGCGTTACTGACTCACAATCGCGGTTCCCTTTTGCGGGTTTAAAAGCGTTTTTCCAAATGTTTGTCTGCTT